TGTGTGTGTGTGTGTGGTTTTGCATATGCGTTGTAATGTATTTTATTTTTGGCTTTTTACGTCTCTTCTGCAGTGTTTTTCAGTTTTTTTATGAGTGATGGTCACTCGTTGGCCTGATAGGTGTCTTGTGTCCAAATTTGGTGTCAATTCGTCCAGTGGTTTTTGAGTTATGTTAATCCCACAAATGAACATTACATTTTTATTTATATAGATTATGTATATTAATATTAGATATCGATATAGATTTAAAATCCGTCACCTAACAACAGCCACTCCACTGCCATCACAGAGGGCCAGTTCATCTAGCAACAGCAATCTAATGACATCGTGGAGAACCACTTCACCCAGTAACAGCCAATGAGGGCCACTTCACCCTCCAACAGATAATGAGGGCCACCTCACCTAGCAACTGCAATCTAGTGACATCACTTAGGGTCACAAATGCTGTATTTCTGCACAGTCCCATGTGATTGTTGCAAAACAAGATTCTTTTTGCATCAGGAGTTTTCGATACTTGCAATACATTCATTTCCTTTTTTGCAATATTTTCTTCATATACTTTGCATCCCTCCCAAAAGTTGGCATCGTCCTGAAGGAGGCTTCTCCTCGTGACAGATTTGTATTGCAAGATTCAATTGGACGCAGGATACAATTCAAATCAATAGAAGTCACTCAAAACAATGTTAAACAGCAGTATGCATATGCAACGCAGCATGAAGTTCAAAACAAATGGCAAGCGTGAAACAGTTTCAAACTGTGAACAGCAACAAAGTGAAACAACCGAGGCCTTACATAAACCAGATGTGTTTATGTTCTGTAGCAGAAACAGAGGAAGCGAGGTGCATTGTGCAAAGTTCTGAGAAAGTGGATTGGAACCGACCCAAATTCCTGCTGGAGACCATCCTTTTTAAAAGGCTTTCTGATGTTCTATTTCCTCTGCCAAAGAGAGCAGCCGCCTCACCAAACTACAAATCCCAGGATCCCATAGCATTGAGTCAATTGCAATTTAACAAGAGATGATGTCCCCCAAAGAGGAGCTCCTGAAGCAGTTTCCCATTTGGCTTTGGCTCAGCACTAAGAGGACTGTATGATGCGACTCTAATGCCCACCCTCATTTGGGGAAGGTAATTTAGCCCTAGAAGGTGAGCATTAGATTCGAGTAAACATGGTACATCTCTTAAAATGAGGCACCCAAAAGCTAACACAGAGCTCCGGATGAGGCCTGACCAGTGCAGAATATCACCGTTCTTGGACTTTCCTTCAACCTGGGATCGATGCTTCTAATAGTGCAAAGAAAAATAGCTTTTGCTTTTTTTGATGCAGCATTACTCTGCTGGCTCATGCTCAGCAATAATACCAAATCATGCGGTACTATTGCATTTGGTGCTTGTGGTCTAAAGGCAGTATTTTGCAATTGTCTCTTATTTAATTCAGTGTAATTTATTGGTCATTGCTGCCTAATAGTCCTCCGTGCCTTTCTTCTTCTCTGAGGTGTGTCTTCACCAGAGGTCCTGGCCCGGGGGCCAGATACGGCCGGCCCTACAAGATCATTTATTCGGCCCTCACTCAGGGTCAATCTAAGTCTGAAATGACTTGAAAGCACACAATAACAACAACAACAACAACAATCCTCCAAGGCCATTTACCTGGCCCTTGCTCAGGGTCAATTAAGACTGAAACGACTTGAAAGCACACAACAACAACAATAACAATCCTATCTCATCAGCCAAAAGCAGGCCCACACTTCCCACTGAAATACTAATAAGCTTATATTTGTTAAAATAATTTTTCATTTTAATTATTGTATTTTTAAAGTGTTTTTTGCATGACAAATAAGCTATGTGCAGTGTGCATAGGAATTCATTCCTTTTTTTTTTCAAATTATAATCCGGCCCTCCCAACAGTTTGAGGGACTGTGACCTGGCCCTCTGTTTTAAAAGTTTGAGGACCCCTGGTCCACACTGTAGAATTAATGCAGTTTGACACCGATTTAAATGCTGTGGGATCTCGGGAATTGTAGTTTGGTTTTGCAAAACTGCAGCTCCCAAGATCCCGCGCATTGAGCCATGGCAAAGTGGTTCCAAACTGTTTTAATTCTCCTATGTGGATGCGTCGCTTCTTGCCCCCCTTTCAACCTTCTCCAATTTTCCAATGCAGAAATGGAAAGCAATATTTCAAATGCATGGAAACCAAATATATTCCCAATCTGGTGAAATCAAAAGGCAGGTGATGCATTGGAGGGGAGGAGAAACCAGTTTAACTGGAAACTGAGTCATTTGAGGCTTGATCGGACAAGTCCCAAAAAGCTGAATTCTGGTAAAAGGAGCTGCATGTGATTAGATTGCCTTTTGTGCCCAGGATTAATGAAGCTGAAATGTTGCCTTGCTCACCAATGGCATTTACCAGGATTTCTAGTATGCCGGGGACACTGGCAAGAGAACATCACAATCAAAGTTTAACGTTCAGGTTCACCGAATTGGGACAATGGGAACCATGGGACTGGTGTGGGGTTTTAGCAATAAAATGCCGCTCTGACCTTTCTTCTACCAGATGGCTTGAGTTAGGGAAGCCAATATGGTTTGAGCATTCCACCATGAATGGATCTGAACCTCTGTTTGGCAAAGAGCTTCAGAATGAATCTTGCCCATGAAACCCTGACAAGTTTTAGGGTTTCTGATCTCTTTTTCGATACAGTTACAAGCTGGGTAGATGCAAGGAATGCTGTGGATGTAGCGTATCTGGATTTCAGTAAGGCCTTCGACAAGGTCCTTGACAAGGAAACTAGTCAAATGTGGGTGAGGCAAGGCAGCTGTGAAGTGGATCTGTAATTGGTTAAGCAAACACACCCAGCGGGTGATTCTCCCCAATGCTTCCTCTTCATCCTGAGGCTGGATGGCCATCTGTCAGGGGTGCTTTGAATGCAATATTCTTGCTTCTAGGTAGGGGGTTGGACTGGATGGCCCATGAGGTCTCTTCCAACTCTATGATTCTATGATTCTATGAACTGAATGCGGGTTGAGACCACCGCAGTCAATGTGTTGCCAAAATACATATGAGCATGATTTGTGCCCCAGATTCTCTGCTTTTAAGGATTCTTTGCTTTTAGTTGACACTAATGTTTGGAAAAATTTCATCCATTTCTCTCCTGCGAGACACAAACAGAGACCAAGGAAGGGTAATAATAGTAGTAATAACAGAGAGCCTACAATAAATGATGCAATGCAGTTCCAAAAACAGACAGGTCTTTTGGGTTGGAATAAAAAAAGAGAAATAGAAGACCTGAGTCCTGAGTTACACTTTCTCAGCCTCAAGGGTCACTTTAGGGTCATCGGATGTCAGAAACAGACACAAAAATTTCACATGGGAAATGGCTATTAGGAGTTATGGAAGCTGAAGTCCAAAACACTTGGAGAGAGGGCTGAAGTTGGCCCAAGCCTGGTCTGCGCTCACCATCTAATGCGGTTCCAAACTGCTTTGCATGTTGGAGCCTTAGCTCTCAGACTGTATTGAGAAAGGATGTGAAGGAGGTTCTGTTTTGCAATAGGCCTCCCTTCCTTTTGCATTAACGTTTCCTTCTGCTGCTTACTGACTCACATTGCATTTGCTCCAGAAACCTGAGACCTTTTTGAAAAAAAAAGCAGCAAAAAAGAAACATCGCCTCTTGAGATTTCTTATAGCTGCAAGGCCAGCAAAGTCACTCGAGGAAAGGCATTTGTGTGCCTTCCAGTACTGATTTGGAAGACCTCACAAGGAGATGCTGGGCTTTATTGCCTTATCCTTGAAGAAGAAGAGCAGAAATTTCCTCTCATGGAGACATGGCTGGCTGCCCTTTAAAAGCAAGGCTTGGTTCCGCATTCTTGCAAAACTGGACAGAAAGGGAGGAGCATTTCTAGGAAACAGCAACGTTTGCACATCTTCTTTCTGATTTCTGATTTTGACACAGTTGCAAAAGAGGCACAAGAGGACGTAGAGTAGGTCACAGATGCTATGTGTGCCAAGTTTGATTTAGTGTTGGCCGTAGTGTGCTCAGGAAGTTAGTGAAGGGATTGTAAGTCCAATCGTCCATGGTCAATCCTCCTCCAAACCACACCTGAATGTAGAGTGGGTCATGGGGGCTCTGTGTACCAAGTTTGATCTTAGTGTTGGCCGTAGTGGTCTCAGGAAGTGAGTGAAGGTATTGTAAGTCCCATCATACATGGTCAGTCCTCCTCCAAACCGCACCAGGATGTAGAGTGTGTCATGGGGGCTTTGTGTGCCAAATTGGGTCTGGATCAGTCATTGGTGTGGGTCGCAGTGGTCTCAGGAAGTGAGTGAAGGTAGTGCAAGTCCCATCGTCAATGGTCTGTCATCCCACAAACCACACCAGGACGTAGAGTAGGTCACAGGTGCTCTGTGTGCCAAGTTTAATCTTGGTGTTGACCGTAGTGGTCTCAGGAAGTGAGTGAAGGTATTGTAAGTCCCATCATCCATGGCCAATCCTCCTCCAAACCACAACAGAATGTAGAGTGGGTCACGGGGGCTCTGTGTGCCAAGTTTGGTCTTGATCAGTCATTGGTTTGGGTTGCAGTGTTCTCTGGAAGTTGTAATGGACTGTACTAGATGTTGTTTTTGGACCCATTAATATAGTAGTTCCTGCATTGTAAGGAGGTTGCCTAGATGGCCTTTGTGGCCCCATTAATACAGGAATTCCTGCATCATAAGGGGATGGACTAGGTAGCCCTTGAGGCGTTATTAGTACTCTCAGCCTTTCATTTTAATGGACTAAATGTAATGGACTAAGTGTCCTTTGAGGCCCCTTCTGACAGGCATCATAAGGAGGCTGCTTAGATGGCCTTTGTGGTGCCATTAATCCATGAATTCCTGCATTTTAAGAGGGTGAGCTAAATAACCCTTGGGCCCCTCCTTTGTGGGCTTGCCCTCTGGTGAGCCTGGAAGCCAGAGCGGCAGAGTACTTGCTTGTACCTCTTCCAAAGGCTCCTTTCTGCTCCTCTTCTCTGCAGGTGGACACATACCTCTACCACATGCGGCTTTCAGATGAGACGCTGCAGGACATTTCAGACCGGTTCCGGAAGGAGATGGAGAAGGGCCTGGGTGCCGACAGCAACCCAACTGCCTCCGTGAAGATGCTGCCCACTTTTGTGAGGTCCACCCCCGATGGGACAGGTAAAAAGGGATGGGCAGAAATGGAGCTAGATTTACCTACGCTCTTGAGATACGGCAGTGTGGCAACGTGGGGCCAAGAAGGGCAGCACATTGGCCGTTACTTGTTGAATAACATATTCCTGTATGATTTGTGCCAGGCTTTAGTGTTGGTGAATGCTCATCTCCCCAAGCTTCATTCTACCTGTGTTTCCCTTACTCTTATGTACGCAGATGATGCGGTGCTGTTTTCCCTATCTAGTGTTGGCCTTAAATGCTTAATTCATTGCTTTGCCAATTATTGTAAAACAAATAGACTGGAAATTAGCTATGTTAAAACCAAAATGCTCATTTTTGCCCAAAAGTGGAAGTGCCCTGTTTCTTCGATCCATTTAACTGCATTTTAAAATGAGCTTTAACCTGTATTTGCTTTCATTAAATGGTGGCAAAAGAGAGGATGGCTGCATGTAATAATAGTAATAATAATAATAATAATAATAATAATAATAATAATAATAATGATAATCTTTATTTATACCCGCTCCATCTCCCCCAGGGGGACTCGGTGCAGCTTACATGAGGCCACGCCCATCAGTACTGTACACACAATATAACACAAAAACATTACAAAATCAGAAAATAAAATACATAAAATGCAAAACCAATATAATAAGCAACACAACAATATAAAATCAAGCATTAAACACACAGAAGATTTTGCTGGGCAGGGCCGGATTCAAGGATAAAATTTTAAAATACTGGGAGATAGGACAATGTAAATTATCAGGAGGAAGAACCGGGAACGAGGAAGGATTTAATTGCACGAACCATAAAAAGTTTGATCCGGGAGTATCTTACATTTAATCACTGAAGGCACATTGGAATAACCAGGTTTTCAGATTCCTCCTGAAGATTGCCAGTGAGGGGGCTTGCCTAATATCTCAGGGGAGTGAGTTCCAGAGCAGGGGGGCCACCACAGAGAAGGCCCTCTCTCTCGTCCCCGCAAGTCACACTTGCGATGCGGGCGGGAGTGAGAGAGGAGCCTCTCCAGAAGATCGAAGAGATCGTGTGGGTTCGTAGATGGAAATGCGGTCGCGCAGGTAGGTGGATCCAAAACTGTTCAGGGCTTTGTAGGTCAAAACCTGCACCTTGAATTGGGCCCGGAAAATAAACAGCAGCCAGTGGAGCTCCTTAAACAGGAGGGTTGACCGCATGTATTCTGTAGTATTACAGGTTGACTCCAATTTAATTACTTTGGTCCAATCCCATGGAATCATGGGAGTTCTAGTTTCATAAGGTCTTTCCTTACTCTGACAAAGAGTGTTGGGTCTTCACCAAACTACAGATCTCAGGATTCTATAGCATTGAGGCATGGCAAAGTGGTGCTAAACTACATTAGTTCTTCAATATAGATGAGCCCCAAGAGGAAATTAAGGTGGGAATTTTGAAGACCTCCAGAAATTGTTGGAATTCATAACCTACCAGTCGTCCAGCAAGCAATGCTGTGTATTTTAGTGCAAAAACATCTGTAGGTGCACTAGACTTCCTCTGCTGTATTACCTGTTGCATTCATTTGCTTCTTGTTGTGTGGTTGGCATAACTCCTCCTTCTCTTTGCAGAGGAAGGAGAATTCCTGTCCTTGGATCTGGGAGGAACCAACTTCCGGGTCTTGAGGGTCAAGGTGGCCGACAACGGGAGCAAGAAGGTCGAGATGGAGAACCAAATCTATGCAATTCCGGAGGACCTCATGCGTGGAAGTGGAGCGCAGGTGAGACATGCACATTAAGAGCATATATATATATATATATATATATATATATATATATATATATATAGTAGAAATATGTTTTAATGTGTATTTTATAGAATGTTTGAGATGATTATGTATTTTTATAAATGTTATGACCTGCCTTGAGGAGAGTTGGGCGCGAACAACAACAACAACAATACTACACTATCTAACACAATTTTTGTTCCTGGGTTATAATTGTCATTTTCTCATTGGTTCTATCATAAAACATGAGAAACATTTATCACACTGCAAAAACTTTGTCTTTGTGGGAGGGACATCCTGCAGCACATTATGCTCTAGTTTTTCAATGAAGATATGATTGAGTCTCCACAAATTCAACATAGTTTGCAGCAGCCACAAAAACATAGTTTCTGCAGTACAAGAATGACTTTCAAAGTAAGTGCCACACAATTAAACAGGAAAGAATGACACTTTCAAACCAGGAACAGAAACCTTTTCAAAGTGTGTGCATTTTAATACACTTTGCCATGTTTCTTTTCTCAGCCATATTGTTTTGATGTTGTTTACGATTGTGGTTGTTTTTATATTTTATCTGATGCTTTTAATTGTTTGTGTTTTATTTGTAACTTTTTGGGCTTGTCTCTTGTAAGCCACCCCGAGTTCCCTTGGAGAGATGGTTGGCAGGGTATAAAAATAAAGTTGTTGTTGTTGTTGTTGTTGTTATTGTTGTTATTATTATTATTAAACCAATTAGGAAATGACATTGATAACCCAGGAACAAAAATGGTGTTGCATAGTTTTGCCGTTGTTGATGATGATGTTTTTGTTTTTATTTGAAACACAACAAGATGAGTCCACAGCAGACACTCTGCTGGCTGTTGAATTGGATTATACATCGGGCACTTCCCAAGTGTCTAGGACTGTGTGATGTATCGGCGAATGATGCGTGCAGATCCCAGTAAGGTGGCCTTTTGCAGCTGGCAGATGGTAATCTTGTCAGCGCTGATTGTGTTTTAAGTACAGGCCAAGGTCTTTAGGCACTGCACCCAGTGTGCTGATCACCACTGGGACCAACTTTACTGGCTTGTGCCAGAGTCTTTGCAGTTCGATCTTTAAATCCTCATTTCGTGTCTGCTTTTCCAGTTGTTTCTCTGCAATCCTTCTGTCACCTGGGACTGCGACATCAACGATCCATGCTTTGTTTTTTAACATGATTGTGAGGTCAGGAGTATTGTGCTCCAAAACTCTGTCTGTCTGAATTCGGAAGTCCCAGAGGAGTTTGGCGTGTTCATTCTCTGTAACTTTTTCCGGCTTGTGATCCCACCGGTTCTTTGTCACAGGCAGATAGTATATGTGGCACAAGTTCCAATGAATCATCTGAGCAACGGTGTTATGCCTCTGCTTGTAGTCTGTCTGCGCGATCTTCTTGCAGCAGCTCAGGATGTAGTCTATTTCTTTCTTAAACATACTGCCGCTTGAAAGGATTGCCTCCAGTCAGTTCTGCCTTTCAGCCTCTGCGTTTTGGAGCATTTTGTTGGTCAGGGACTTGGGAATGTTCTTCTTCTATTATTGCTTTTCCTAATGTTCCTGCTCACAATCGCTTTGTTTCCCCCCAGCTCTTTGACCACATTGCGGAATGTCTGGCCAGCTTCATGGAGCAGCTGGAGATCAAGGAGAAGAAGCTCCCGCTGGGCTTCACCTTCTCTTTTCCTTGCTACCAGACCAAACTGGACGAGGTCAGCGGGCTTCTTCCTTCACTTAGGAGTTGGGGTTGGAAAGGGCACAGAATGTTGGATATTATTTCCTTCTTTTAAAAAATAATTTTTATTTAAACAAATTAATACAAAACCTACATGTGAACATACAAATAAACGAACAAACTAACAGTCTCTGTTGCAAATCACCAGCTGCATTCATCACCAAGACATCTTGCCTTATGGATACACTTGTTCTACAGTGTTGATGCACTCCAAGTCTCTTCCTGCAAAGCAGTGGCTGCAGCCATTGACCATAGATAGATCTTGCCATGTGGCCTTGACTTGTACCACTTTTAGCAACTAAATAAAAGTCCTGCGAATGCCTGGATTTGCAACCAGGGCTGTGCTGCAAATCCTCAGCTGCATTCATCTATCACCAAGGAAGTAAGCAAGCCTGATGCCCTTGGTGCATGCCACCTTTTGCAAACAAATAAAGCCCTCTAAATGCTTGGACATGCAAAAAGATCTCTGCTACAAATTTATTTATTTATTTATTTCATATATTTATATCCCGCCCTTCTCCCCTCAAGGGGGACTCAGCGCGGCCTCACATGAGCATCAGAGGATGCTAACAGCATAAATACCATTAAAATTATAATTCACAATAAAATCATTTTAAAACATTACACAACATCATCAGTAAAATTTAACAATAAATTAATAGATTAACGTGCCAGTAAAACCAAGCCGAGCCGAGAGAATCCATATCGCAAATCCAAATTTGCGAGGCAAGCCTTTGCTGAAGCACTGTCCTCCTTCTCTGCAGAGCATCCTTGTGAACTGGACCAAAGGGTTCAAGTCTAGTGGTGTGGAAGGCCGGGACGTGGTCTCCCTCCTGCGGAAAGCCATCAGGAAGCGTGGGGTGAGTCGAGAGGCCTTTCCCTTACTTTTTTCCCCCCCAAAATTATTATTATTATTTTACACCCCACTTTTCTCTCCACAAGGAGACTCAAAGCAGCTGTGTATCTATTATTAGTATTACATTGTATTATTATTATCATAGTTATTATGTTTATTTATACTCTCCTTTTTCTCTCCGCAAGGAGACTCAAAGTGGCTTTGCCTTCCGCTGGGGCTGAGAGAGTGTGACCCCAACCCATGATTGATAGGTTTTTAGTGTCTCCTTGGTAAAGAGGTTTTGTTCCTTTTGATAGGACTTTGATATCGATATCGTTGCCGTGGTGAATGATACTGTTGGGACGATGATGACCTGTGGATATGACGACCACAACTGCGAAGTGGGGCTCATTGTTGGTAAGAACCTCCCTTGAGTCCCTGTATCAGGAGATAGACACAACAACAACATAGATTAATAGAATCCTACATTAGGAAGGGACCTTTAAAGGCCATCCAGTCCAACCCCCCTTCTGCCAGGCATGAAAAGCACAATCAAAGCCATCACTCCCCTGCGAAATATGATCACACAGCCTTTGTTTGAAAACCTCCAAGGGAGGAGCCTCCACCACACTCTGGAGCAGTGAGTTCCACCATTTAACAGCTCTTGTTAAGGTCAGGAAGTTCTTCCTCATGTTCACTGGAATCCTCTTTCTTGTGATTTGAACTGATGGCTCCATTGAGTCCTAGGCTCTCAATTAACCAGAACTCTCAAGCAACAGGCAAAAAACGAATTGAAAAAAAGAAGATTTTAAATTAAAAATCAAAATACTTGTATAATACAGTAAAACAGTGTTATATTAAAGATGACGGGTATAAACATATCTATATCTATATCTATATCTATATCTATATATATATATATATATATATATATATTCTATTATTATACTAGAGACTAGTGGTTCTCAACCTATAATAATAATAATAACCTTCCTAATGCCGTAACCCCTTAACATAGTTCCTCATGTTGTGCTGACCCTCACCACAACATTATTTGTGTTGCTACTTCATAACTATAATTTTGCTACTGTTATGAATCGTAATGTAAATATCTGATATGCAGGATGTATTTTCCTTCATTGAGCCAAATTTGGCACAAATTCCCAATATGCCCCAATTTGAATACTGGTGGGGTTGGGGGGATTTTGTCATTTGGAAGTTGTAGTTGCTGGGTTTTATAGTTCACCTACAATCAAAGAGCATTCTGAACTCCACCGGCAATGGAATGGAATCAAATTTGGCACACAGAACTGCTATGACCCACTGAAAATACTGGAAGGGTTTGGTGGGTATTGAACTTCAGTTTTGGAGTTGTAATTCATCTACATCCAGAGAGCAACAATGATGGATCTGAACCAAACTTGGTACGAATACTCAGTAAGCCCAAATGTGAACACTGGTGGAGTTTGGGGGAAAATGGACCTTGACATTTGGAGTTGTTGCTGGGATTTATAGTTCACCTACAATCAAAGAGCATTCGGGCACCAACGATAGAATTGGATCAGACTTCCCACACAGAACCCCCATGACCAACAGAAAATACTGTGATTTCTGATGGTCTTTGGAGACCCCTTTGACACCCCCTTGCGACCCACCCAGGGGTCCCGACCCCCAGGTTGAGAAACACTACTATAGACTAATAATAATTAAAAATGTGTGCTAATGTTTTATGTTAAGCCACTATGAGTCTCCTTTGGGAAAGATAAAGCAGAGTATAAATAAATAAAATAATTATAAACACACACCACACACACACACACGCACACACATATAATAAAATAAAAATAAAATATATAATAAAATAAAAATAATAAAATAAAATAATAATTACATTTTATGCTGATACTTTTATCCTTTGAGTCTCCTGCAGGGTATAAATTATATATTTATATCACTAAAGGCATATTTATTTATTTAAAATTTATTTAAAACTTTTATATCCCGATCTTCTCAAATTCCATAGCGGGACTCAGACCGGCTTATCAATATTTTGTTGTTGTTGTTGTTGTTGTATTGTGGGAGTTGTAGTTTGGCGAGGCCTTGCAAGACGACAGCTCCCATTCAATTGCAAGGAGCCTTGGCAGACTGCACTGGAGGCAGCAGAGCCAGGTCCAATGATGCCTTTGGGTCACAACGCAGAGAGGCCCCAAATGGGAGGATCGCCTCCTGATCTTTCCTTCTCTCCCTTCCTTTTGTCCTCCTCCTTCCAGGCACTGGTTCCAATGCTTGCTACATGGAAGACATGCGCCACATCGACTTGGTGGAAGGTGACGAGGGGCGCATGTGCATCAACATGGAGTGGGGTGCCTTCGGGGATGATGGGGCGCTTGATGACATCCGGACCGAGTTCGACCGGGAGATCGACATGGGATCCCTCAACCCAGGAAGACAACTGTGAGCAATACTCCTCCTTCAGCCCCTGAAGGCTTGGCAGGCTTGAGGGGGTCCAGGGCTAGCATCCTAGAGTTGGAGGGGACCCCAAAGGCCATCCAGTCCAACCGTACTCTAGATGGATGGAATGTACTGTCAAGTTGAAAGAGACCCCAAGGGCCATCCAGTCCAGCCCCTTCTTTCTGCCAGGCAGTTGGACAACATCCAATCCCTCCTGACAGATGCCTATCTAGTCACTGATAGATATGATTGAGAGAGAGAGAGAGAGATGATAGATAGATAGATATGATTGAGATCGATGTATATCATAGAGTTAGCAGGGATTGACAGCTAGATATGTTTGACAGAGATATGATAGATAGATAGATAGATAGATAGATAGATAGATAGATAGATAGATAGATAGATAGACAGACAGATAGACAGATAGACAGATAGACATTGGGGTGGCTAATTATTGTAGAATCATAGTGTGTGTGTGTGTGTGTGTGTGTGTGTGTGTGTATGTAATGTTCGTTTGTGGGCTTAACATAACTCAAAAACCACTGGACGAATTGACACCAAATTTGGACACAATACAAATTTGGACACAACAAGTGCCACTGAAAAAAACACAGCAGAAGATACTTTAAAAGCCAAAAAACAAAAATTACACTAAAACGGATGTGCAAAACCACATAAATATACACAAACACATATATGCACACACAAAACACATATTCAGAGATTGGGCCACAGCAATGTGTGGCAGGGGACGGCTAGAATATATATACACATACACACACACACATACTATGATTCTACAATTATTTATATGTGTGTGTGTGTGTGTGTGTGTAGAGAGAGAGATAGAGAGAAAGTGGGAGAGTGTATATAACAGCGCTCCATGCAGTCCTGCTGGCCACATGACCTTGGAGGTGTCTATGAACAACAGTGGCTCTTCGGCTTAGAAATGGAAATGAGCACCAACCCCCAGAGTCGGACACGACTGGACTTAATGTCAGGGGAAACCTTTACCTTTACCTAGTATATATATCATAGATTAGAAGGGATCCCCAGCCATAGATATGATTGACAGAGAGATGATAGATAGATATGATTGAGATAGATATATGGTATACAATAGAATAGAATACTAGCGTTAGCAGGGATCCCAAGAGCCACCCAGTTTAGCCCCCTTCTTTTTGCCATGCAGAAAGGCACCATCCAACTCCTCCTGACAGACGGCCATCCAGCCTCTGGGTCCCAAGGAAGGAGACCTATCTAGTCTTAGCCATTGTCATGCAGGGACACATATGGGCATGATGGCTAATATATTTAAATGGCCTATGGTTGGGAGGGACCCCAAGGGCCACCTAGTCCAACCCCAATCTGCCATGCAGGAAAATCAGTCCCCCCAACAGGGGCCCCTCCAGCCTGTGCTTAAAAACTTCCAGACAAGGGAGGTGGCCACATGTCATGTAACTCCACCTGACCTCCTTTCCCTGCAGGTTTGAGAAGATGATCAGCGGCATGTACATGGGGGAGCTGGTGCGGATCATCCTGGTCAAGATGGCCAAAGAGGAGCTGGTCTTCGACGGGAGGCTCACCCCGGACCTGCTGACCAGGGGCCACTTCGAGACCAGATTCGTCTCCGCTATTGAGAAGTGAGTGGCTGCGCCTAAGGAAGGGGCGAACGAGGGGGCATGGCGCTGGTCGGTCTGGAGGCCCCCCGTGGAATGCAAAGGCCTCATTGCATCCAAGGTGCCTGTGAAGGCTGTTGTTTAGGATTATTTTGGTCTGCATGTTAGGGGAGAACATAGGGTATGACTGCACTGTAGAATGAAAGCAGTTTGGCACCACTTGAAGTGGCATGGCTCATCTCTGTGGGAATCCTGGAGTGAGGTACGAGCACTAGAAAGGAGGAAGGGAAGGGGAGGAGAGGAGAGAAGGAAAGGAAGAGAAAAGAAGAAAAGGGACAAGAGGAAGAAGGGGAGGAATGGAAACACGGAAGGGGAGGGGAGGAAAGAAGGAAGGGAACGTTGAGATTAATTTCGCAATTCAGCAGCAGATCAGTTGCACAACTTCAGCGCTTTCCAGTAGCTTCTTCCTGCACAGTATTTTCAGTCAACTGCTCCCACAAACTGCAGTCACTCTGGAACTCTTTTACAGGCACTTGAGCACATGCCCAGCCATTCTCAGTTTTACTATTGTTTTCCCCTCCAATCTAGATGACACTATAAACTTACCACAACACACGGTTATATCTTGTCTTAGCAGACAGGTTCTTTTGATCAATTACATAGAGCCTTCGATGAACAGCATCACAGCACAAGGAGAGATATACACTGTACATGACTTCCTTATATACAATTCTATACAATTACACATAGCAATCTCTGATTGGTTCCCAACTCATTAACTTAACTCAGACCCAGGATTACATCATTCACAATCACCTGGACCAGGCCAGAACACATTCCCCAAATGATTCCCTATATACAGTTAATGCATGGCTCAGCATTTCCAATAGAAGCCTATTAGCAGTGCATTACTCAGCTATATTACATTACAATACATTGTAAAACCTGACAGGGAAGCTATCAAAGAAGGGAAGAAAAGAGAAGGGACAAAAGGAAGAAGGGGAGAAAAAATGGAGGGAAGGAAAGGAAAAGAAGGGAGGAAAAGAAGAGGAGGGAATAGAAGATTAGGAAGGAGGGAAGGAAGAGAAAGAAAGGCATGAAAAGAAGGTGAGAGGAGGAAGGGAGGGAAGAAATGGAAGGAAGGAAAGAAATGAAGAGAAGGGAAGGGACAGAAGGAAGAAGGGGAGGGATGGCAGGAAGGGAAAGGAAAAAGACAAAGTAAAACGAAGGAAGGAAAAGAAAAGAAGGTAAGAAAGAGAAGAGATGAAAGATGAGGAGGCAAGGAAAGGAAGGAAGAGAAGGAAAAAGGGAAGGAAGAGGAGGGAAGGGATAAAAGAAAGGGAGGAAGAGACGGAAGAAATGGGAAGGGGTGAAAGGAAGGAGGGAAGGAAGGGAGAAGGGAGGGCACTGTCTTCTTCTCCCCACTCTTGCTTGACCCCCACTTTCTTTCCGGCCCCGCAGGGAGAAGGAGGGCTTGTCCAAGGCCCGTGAGATCCTGACCCAGCTGGGCCTGGACCCCACTCCAGAGGACTGCTTGGCCACGCAGCGTATCTGCCAGGTGATCTCCATGCGCTCTGCCAACCTCTGCGGGGCCGCCCTCTGTGCTGTCCTTCGCCGCATCAAGGAGAACAAGGGGCTAGACCGGCTGCGGACTACCGTGGGGGTGGACGGCACCGTCTACAAGAAGCACCCCCAGTAAGTGGAATGGAGGGGGTCTGGGAGGGGCCCCCGGGGTCAGCTTTTAGGGACGCCTCTCCAGGGCTTGGGGGCCAGTCTTTGGAAGGATCCCGCCTCAAAGGTCTGTGGGTCAACGCTTGGGCGTCCCCTCTCAAGGGTCCAGGAGTCAGCCTTTGAGGGTCTCCTTTCAAGGGGCCAGGACCAGCCATTAGGTTTCCTCTTGTAGACCTAGGGTTAGGTATCTGTTCCAGAAGGGTTGGAGCCAGCCTTTGCTCATGTCCTGATCTGCAGTTTTCTAGAGGAGAAATTACCCCACAGACCGACTGGAAAGGCTTTATTTCTCAAAGAATGCAGTACTGTTACAAGCAAGGTTCCATCGGACAGCTAGTTTCCCTTCACCTCATAACCCTCACTTTGGCCATCCCCTTCACAGCCCTATTCCCATGGAAAACCTCTCCCTTACTTCAAGTGAACTACAGGCAAAAGCATGGCCTACTTTCACGGTTCCTCACACCAGAAAAGGAGGTCATGACAAGGGGGTCCTTTTGAGAGAGGAGAGTCCATGGTCATCCTTTGGAGGTCCTCTATTGAGTGTCAGCCTTTAGAGGTACCCTCTTGAGGGGTCTAAGGTCAGCCTAAAGGGCTTTCTCTCAGCTTCTGGGGTCCCCTCTCAAGGGTCTGTAGGTCAGTGTTTGGGTGTTCCCCCTTGAGGGCCCAGGGGTCATCCTTTGGGAATCCTAATAATAATAATAATAATAATAATAATAATAATAATAATAACAACAACTTTATTTTTATATCCCACTATCATCTCTCTGAAGCGACTTGGGGTTGTTTACAAGCGGGATCAAGCCCAAAACAACATAATTTACATAGTTTACTAACTAAAACAGATGTCAAAACAATCTAATTAAACGAATAAAAACAACAGAGTATTAAAACAACATTAAAATGAATCAGAACAAACTTCAATCAACCAGAATCAATAATAAGGTGGGCAAGATCAGAAATTAGAGTGGGTTGGGCATTGGCGTGTGCAAAAAGCACATTATGGGGCCAGGGCTGGGGTCAAGTGCTGAGTTCACTCTAATGATCAATTTGAGCTGGGCATTCATCAAAAGGGGCCTAACCATGATCAAGCACACACTGAAACATCCAGGTTTTGAGATCCCTGTGGAAGGTGGACAGAGTGGGTGCTAGCCTGATCTCTCTTGGGAGGACATTCCAAAGATGGGGGGCCACCACCGAGAAACCCTCTCTTTCGTCCCCACCAACCGCGTTTGAGGCGGAGGTGGCACCAAGAGGAGGACCTCCCCAGTAGATCTTAAAGCTTCGAGATAATGGTCTCGAAGATAGGCTGGACCTGAAGCGTATAGGGCTTTATAGGTAAAAATCTGCACTTTGAATTGGTTCCAGAAATTCATTGGCATCTAGTGGAGCTGCTTTAGCAGGGGCATGGTGTGCTTCCTATAACCAGATCTATTTCGTAATCTAGCCACCGACATTTGCACCAGTTGCAGTTTCCGGGCTGTCTTCAAAGGCAGCCCCCATATAGAGTACATTGCAGTAATTCAACCTGGATTTAACTAAGGCGTGGACCAGCCTGACCAAGTCAGGCTTTTCGATGTACAGTTGCAGCTGACGCACAAATTTTAACTGTGCAAAGGGCCTCCCAGCCATTGCCAACACCTGAACATCAAGCATCAGCAGTGAGTCCAGGAGGACCGCCAGACTGTGGACCTGTGTCCTCAGGGAGAGTGTAATCCCATTGAGCACAAGTGGCCACCCTATACCCTGACTGACCTCATGACTGACCTCTGTCTTGTCAGGATTAAGCTTCAGCTTGTTAGCCCTCATCTAGTCCATCACAGCTGCCAGACACTGGTCCAGCATCCGGAGGGTTTCCTTGGATTTCGATGGAAAAGAATAATAGAGTTGAGTGCCATCTACATAAAGATGTCACCGAGGTCTTTTGAGGTCCCCCTCTTGAGGGATCTAGGATCAACCTCTAGGGTTTTCTCTCAGCCTCTGGGAGTCCCCTCTCAAGGGTCCATGGGTCAATGCTTGGGTGTCCCCTCTCGAGGGCCCAGGGGTCAGCCTTTGGCAGTCCTCTATTGAGTGCCGGCCTTTAGAGGTCCCCTCTTGAGGGGTCTCTGATCAGCCTTTAGGGTCATCTCTCAGCCAATAGGGGTCCCCTTTCAAGGGTCATTGGTTCAGCCACAAGGGGTCCATAGCCAGCCTTTGGAGGTTCATCTCTCAAGAGAGGGAGTTCATGGTCAGCCTCTGGGATCCCTTTTGAGGGGATGAGTTGGGGACATGTTCAAGAGGAGCTGAGGCTGGCCTTTAGGGAGTCCTGTCTCTTCCATGAGTCCATGGTCAGCTTTTGAAGGTCCTCTGTTGAGTGACAGCCTTGAGAGGTCCTCTCTTGAGGTCTCTGGGATCAGCCTCTAATGTCTTTTCTGAGCCTTTGGGAGCCTTATCGCAAAACTCCATGGGTCAGTGTTAGGGAGTTCCCTCTCAAGGACAGCCTCTCAGCTTCTAGGGGTCCCTATCAAGAGTAGCCTTTTGAGGGGTCTACGGTCAGGGTCCTTTCTCAGCTTCTAGGGGTCCCTTTTCAAGGGCACTTCTGCCAGCCTTGGAAGTTTCTTCTCTCTAGAGATAGAGATAGATGGTATGTCTCTGGGTTCCCATTTCAAAGGGATCAGTTAGGGTTAGGGATCTGTTCTAGAGAGACTGGGGTCAGCCTTTTGGGGGAGGTCCACTCTCGTGAATCCATGATTAGTCTTTGGCAGTTCTCTTTTGAGTGTCAGCCCCTAGGGTCCCCTCTCAATGGTCCATGGGTCATCCTTTGGGTGGGGTCACTCCCTTCCCTTGGTGCCCTCACCCTGACGACTCTCGCCCTGTTCCAGCTTTGCTCGCCGGCTGCAGAAAGTGGTGCGGCGCCTGCTTCCAGACTGTGAGGTGCGCTTCATCCGCTCAGAGGACGGGAGTGGGAAGGGGGCAGCCATGGTGACGGCAGTGGCCTACCGGCTTGCGGCCCAACGAAAGGTCCGACAGGAGATCCTGGACCCATTGTGCTTGAGCCATGAGCAGCTGATGGAGGTCAAGCGCCGCATGCGGCAGGAGATGGAGCGCGGCCTGGCCCTGGAGAGCCACTCCGAAGCCACCGTCAAGATGCTGCCCTCCTATGTCTGCTCTACCCCAGATGGCACCGGTGAGTGGCACCACTAGGGGTCCCCTTTCAAGGGTCCTTGGTTTGGTATCCATAGGGACCCCTCTGCCCACCAAGCCATGGTTTCACTACCTGCTCTCTATCTTCAGCCCACCAGGTGTTTTGGACTTCAACTCCCACAATTCCTAACAACCTATTGGCTGTTGAACTCCAAAACACCCCAAGTTTGCCCAGGCCTACTCTAGGAATTTTTGACATCCCCCAAGCCATTTTAGTACAGGCCGTCCCTCAGTTACAAACAAACGTCAGACTTATAAACAATTCCTAGTTGAGAACGTAGGGACTGAGACAACAGGAAGTGAGTGGATTCTACCCTTACGAAGGGAAATCCACTCCTGGAAGTTATTATCAAGTGGAAAAGGGGGCTCCACTGAAGCTTTATTCCACAACAAGCCATGTTTCTCAAAATCCCATTCCCACTGGGACAGAAAGGGAGGGGATGTCTCCTGGAAAGGGCAACAGCCAACAAAGGAAACCCCACAAAGGGGTGGGGGGACTAACATTTCCCAAATATATATCTTCTAAAGCCCAGAGCTCCAAAACACCTTGGATGATATAAATCATAATCTATCTATATAAATAAAATAAATAAAAATGTAATGTTCATTTTTGGGATTAACAGAAGTAAAAAACCACTGGGCAAATTGACACCAAATTTGGACACAAGACACCAACCAAAGCAATCTATGTCCTTCACTCAAAAAAAACCCTGAAAAAAAAGTAGAAAGGACTTCTACGCTAAAAATTCCTATAGGGAGAAATTGTGCATGTCCACAGAAAGATACCCTCAGCCATGCCCCCTCCTCCACGCGGGGAAACAGCCGGCCAGCCGTTACTCCACTAGCTACTGGAGTGGTCGTCCTGGGAGCAGAGGCAGGTTGCAATGGCGAGAGCGTGGCCTCTTCCTCCTCCCCACACTGACTGCCAGAGTTTGCGAGGTTGGAGTGGATGGTCACTGCAGGGGGTGGGGTTGTTTTTCCCTGCTATGGCAGGAGCGTGGCCTCCTCTTCCTCCGCAGCCCCGTGCCTCTTTCTCCTCCTCGCACCGGCTTCTTCCCTTCTCCAAGCCTTTTTCTCATCATCATCATAATCATCATCGTCGTTATTTATAACTTGCCCTATCTCCCCCAAGGGGACTCAGGGTGGTTTCCAACAAAAAAATCAGCAGTCTCATGAGGAAACACAGCTCTGGAATCTTAGAGTCAGAAGGGACCCCAAGGGTCATCCAGTCCAACCTCCTTCTTTCTGCCATTATGCAGGAAGGTGCCACCAAAGTCCTTCACATGGTAACGGCAGTGCCTTTGTCGTTTCAGAAAAGGGGGATTTCCTGGCCCTGGACCTCGGGGGCACCAACTTCCGGGTGCTGCTGGTGAGGATCCGCAGTGGGATCCGGCGGAGTGTGGAGATGCACAACAAGATCTATGCCATCCCACAGGATATCATGCAAGGGACCGGGGAGGAGGTGAGTGGTCAGAGCAAAAGGAGGGCACACCAGCCTCGCTCGGAATTATTATTATTATTAATAATAATAATAATAATAATAATAATAATAATAATAATTTACTTTTATCCCGTTTTTCTGGATATGGAATATTTACATTGGATTTGGATTTGGAAAAGAGACACAGTATAGCAGGGTATGGAGGAAGACATTTGCAGATTGTTGGGCTGTGATTGTTCATTTTCATGTGGTGGCTTACTCCAGATTGCATGTTTTGAATGTTGCGGTGCTTGGAAGCCATCCCGGAAAGCATACATGAATGCAAAGCCTAATAGAAAAATATATTCATTCATACTTTTTTCAAGAAAATGTGTTTTAAATCTTAAATAATTGTTTGTTAATCACAAAAGGTGGCAGTTTCCTTATAATAATTTGAAAGAAAGAACAATAGCCTTAACTATTGGTCCCAGTAAAAACTTGATAGTAATTCATGCAATAACTTCATAGTGGTCTTTAAACTAGTGGATTTTTCAGCCTTAGTGGAGTCATTGTGTATGCATTTGTTATACCTTTCCTGCCACCTTGTGTCCAGAACAGTAAATTGTATGGTTTGATTTATCAATACAAAAAGTTTTAAAAGAAAGAAAGAAATATAATTTTTTTGTCGTTGAGAAATTGCAAGTCGCTTCTGGTGAGAGAGAATTGGCCGTCTGCAAGGACGTTGCCCAGGGGATGGCTAGATGATTTGATGTTTTTATCATCCTTGTGGGAGGCTTCTCTCATGTCCTCGCATGGGGAGCTGGAGCTGATAGAGGGAGCTCATCCGCCTCTCCTCGGATTTGAACCTGCAACCTGTCGGTCTTCAGTCTTGCCGGCACAGGGGTTTTAACCCACTGCGCCACCGGGGGCTCCATATATAAAATAAGCAAAGTCGAAAGGGAGAATCAAAGTTGAAAGGGTTCAAATAGTCTCCAAAAGCAATCCAGAGATATCCAAAGACATGAATCCAAGGCAGGCAAACTCTGCCCCACATGAACTAGAAGCAAAAACACTCAGAAATCTGAATACATGAATTTCAAAAACAGAGAGATCTTCACCTGAATGCCTCAATATTTTTTTTAAAAAAATCCTCATTCCTTCCCATCACATGATTTCACACACACCTGCTTTTCCTCTCCTTATCTCTAAGCCTCTGGGAAAAGCGAGTCTGTCTTTGTTTCATTCCCCGTCTCTGCCATTCCAAGCGCCTTGACCTAGACATAAACATTGTAAAAACACCACAAATGCACATATTAACATGTATTTGTATATGGGAAGTTGAATGTGCTATCCTTGTTGTACTTGTAAAGCGCCTGCTGTTTTGAAGGGAATTTCCTTCACCCTCTCCTTCCTGGCCCCTTGCAGCTCTTTGACCACATTGTGCACTGCATTGCGGACTTCCTGGAGTACATGGGCATGAAAGGCGCCTCCCTCCCGCTGGGCTTCACCTTCTCCTTCCCGTGCCACCAGACCAGCCTCGACAAGGTAGGTAAATCCACACACCCCCGCGCACTCTCTCTGATGTCACTAGGAAAGAAAGGGCGTGAAGGGGATTGGATGCTGCTATGTGGCGTGTGGGTGAAGGTAAGAGAGAGAGAAGAATGAAAAAAGAGGGAAGAGAAAGACAAGAAGGGGAGGGAAGAAGGATGGGAGTGGGCATGGGAGGAGGGAAGGAAAGAAAGAGAAAGAAGGGAAGAAAAAAGAGATGATGGGAGGAAGGAAAGGAAGAAAGGAAAAGAAGGGAAGGAAAGAATAGGAAAGGAGAAAGGGTATGAGGGGAGAAAAGAAGAGAAAGGAAGGGAAGAAAGCAAAGTTGATGGGAGGAAAGAAAGAGGAAGAAAGAAAGAGGAAGAAAGAAAGAAAGAAAGAAAGAAAGAAAGAAAGAAAGAAAGAAGGAAAGGGCAGGAAACAGAGTGGAAACAATTATGGACAAAGACATCTAAAAAACTTATCAATACGGGTTAAAGAAAATTATTACAAGTTAATATGGAAATAATAATAATAATAATAATAATAATAATAATAATAATAATAATAAAACTTTATTTGTACCCCGCTACCATCTCCCCAAGGGACGCGGTGCGATTTACATGAGGCCAAACCCACAACACATAGGATAAATGGTACCTAACTCCAGTAAGAATAGCATATATAATTAAAAACGATTCAAAAAATTGTTGGAGAGGGTGTCAAGAAACAGGAACATATATACATATGTGGTGGCAATGTAAATATGTAAATAATTTGGGGGGGAAAGTATTTAGAGAAATAGAAGATATAATAGGTTCTTGTGGGTTTTTTCGGGCTATATGGCCATGTTCTAGAGGCATTTTTCCTGACGTTTCGCCTGCATCTATGGCAAGCATCCTCAGAGGTAGTGAGGTCAGACCTGGAAAAACCTACAACAACCCAGTGATTCTGGCCATGAAAGCCTTCGACAATACATTAAATAGCCTCTGTTTGTCTATTTCTGTTGTGTCTCTGGTAGCCAGATAAAAAGCCAGATAACACTAGATGCCAAAATTTTAGATAAAAAACTCTAAAACTACAACAGCAAAAACAGCAGAGAGGAAACAACCAGGCACATCTTAACACCTCTCAACAAAACATTTTCCCAGGCTCAGCCAGGCCTTCAAATGCTAATGAAGGTGGTCAGCTGAAACATTCACACCTAGTTTCAATAGAGAAGAGCTTTGTGCCCCACCCCAGCATTTCCACAGATATATAAACCCTTTTTCCTAGTTCCAACAGACCTCACTACCTCTGAGGATGCTTGCCATAGATGCAGGCGAAACGTCAGGAAAAATGCCTCTAGAACATGGCCCTATAGCCCGAAAAAACCCACAAGAACCTAGTGATTCCAGCCATGAAAGCCTTCAACAATACAGAAGATATAATGAATATTAAAATAGAAAGAAGTCCTAGTATAGCTTTATTATCATTATATAATAATAAACAATTGAAAAAAGTGGATAAAGAAGCGATAACAAATTTATTAACAATAGCAAGACTGCTTATAGCAAGAAATTGGAAAACAGAAATAAATATACAAATAGAGGAGTGGTATAAGGAAGTATGGAAATTGGCAATAAATGATAAGCTGACATCTATATTAAAGTTAAAAGAGGTATATGGAAACAAAGTGATTTTGATGATGTATGGAGAAAATTTATTTTAAAAGGATTTAAAAATAAAGAAGGAAAGTTACCTCCACAAGAAGAATTGAAATCTCACACCTGCACATCTCTTTCCTCTCTTTTTTGGCTTCTGAAGGGAATCCTCCTGAAGTGGACCAAAGGCTTCAGCGCGACGGGATGTGAAGGGAATGACGTGGCCGAGCTGCTCAAGGAAGCCATCCACAGGAGAGAGGTGGGCCCTTCCTGCTGTCTGTGACGTGTGGAATGAATGAATGAATGAATGAATGAATGACATGGTGGGGCCTGGCAAGTGGCTATTATGGCTTGGCAAGGCTGAAGACACCATCCTAAGAAATTTGGAACCTTGTGGAGAAACAAACTCTTGGAGGAAACTCTTGGTGTAAACAACATGTTTGCATGATCAGAGACAAGGATACTTTAAGTTGAGGAAATCAAACACAACAGTTCCTTACATTAAGGGGGGGACGGGACGGACAACATCTGTTCAGAATTGGTGGAGTAGTAATAATGATCTATATAAATAAAAATGTAATCTTCGTTTGTGGGATTAACAGAACTCAAAAACCACTGGACGAATTGACAACAATTTTGGAAACAAGGCACCTAACAACCCAATGTATGCCCTTCACTCAAAAAAAATTGATTTTGTCATTTGGGAGTTATAGTTGCTGCGATTTATAGTTTATAGTTTGATTATAATCAAAGAGCATTCTGAAACCCACCAACGATGGAATTGAACCAAACATGGCACACGGTTCTCCCATGACCAACACTAAATACTGGAAGGGTTTGGTGGGTAATGTCCTTTGGTTTTGGAGTTGTAGTTCACCTCCATCCAGAGATCACTGTGGACTCAAACAATGATGGATCTGGACCAAACTCTACATGAATACTCAATATGCCCAAATGTGAACACTGGTGGAGTTTGGGGAAAATAGAATCTTGACATTTGGGAGTTGTAGTTTCTGGGATTTATAGTTCACCTACAATCGCAGAGCATTCTGAACCCCACCAACAAGAGAATTGGACGAAACTCCACACAGAACCCCCGTGTGGGCCACAGCAATGCGTGGCAGGGGACGGCTAGTAGTAGTAGTAGTAGTAATAATAATAATAATAACTTTTATTTTTGTACCCCGCCACCATCTCTCTGAAGGGACTCAGGGTGGCTTACAAGGGGACAGGCCCAACAAGATACAGATTAAAACACATACAATAAAATAAAATAGACAAAATAAAATCTACCGTAACATTAGATAAAGGTAAAAGTAGTCTGCTGACATTAAGCCCAGTCATGTCTGACTCTGGGGTGTGGTGCTCATCTCCATTTCTAAGCCGAAGAGCCAGCGTTGTCCGTAGACACCTGTGGCCGGCATGACTGCATGGAGCGCCGTTACCTTCCCGCTGGAGCGGTACCTATTGATCTACTCACATTTGCATGTTTTCGAACTGCTAGGTTGGCAGAAGCTAGGGCTGACAGCAGAAGCTCACGCCGCTCCCCGGAATCGAACCTGTGACCTTTCGATCAACAAGCTCAGCAGCTCAGTGCTTTAACCCACTGCGCCACTGGGGGCTCCTAACATTAGAGAAACATTAAAATCACATTACACATTTTAAAAACAGTATCATGGCTGAGGGAATAAGTGCTGACTGCAGAGGGATCAGGGAATGTGCCATTGTTTCTAGATAGAGCCGGGTAAAGTGCAGGTGTGCTTCAAATCAGATTAAAGTCACAACTGGAAAGATACAATCCTTAGGCATTTTGGTTGATCCAAAAAAAAAAAAAAAGGTTCAAAACTCCCTCAGCCTAGCCTAATGCTAACTAGCTGTTCCTTTTTGAGGACTTCAGACTTGAGCAGTGTGAGGTTGACTTCCAACAGAAAGAATGTATGTGGAGTGAATGCTGAGTGAATGCTTCCCCTTTGTCTGTGCAGCCAACATAGCTATTATAAAACCAGGACTGGCGCCTATGAGTCTGTTTCTTTCTCTGAAGGTGCCTGAAGCAACCTGTACCACTGAAAATGCATTTTCAAGGTTTAAAAAGTATTCACAACATTGTTCCCTTTGCTTTCTGTGGGTTCAAGGGACACGGGTTTTGGGTGCATCAATGCGGTGGGATCCTGGGAGAATCAGACTGCGTCCCAGAACGGGTGACACTTGCGTGAGGTTTTCCTGATTATTTCCTTGCTGTCCTTCATCTTCTAAGTTCCTCACTCCATTTTATTTTTCCTTCTACCTATCCTTCCTTTGCAGGAGTTTGACCTCGATGTGGTGGCGGTGGTCAATGACACGGTGGGCACCATGATGACCTGTGGCTATGAAGACCCTCTGTGCGAAGTTGGGCTGATTGTTGGTAAGGCCTGGCACCCCATTTTCATACAATCATAGAATCCTAGAGTTGGAAGAGACCTCAAGGGCCATCCAGTCCAACCCCCTGCTCAGAAGCAGGAATATTGCATTCAAAGCACCCCTGACAGATGGCCATCCAGCCTCTGTTTAAAAGCTTCCACAGAAGGAGCCTCCACCACACTCCAGGGCAGAGAGTTCCACTGCTGAACGACTCTCACAGTCAGGTAGTTCTTCCTCATGTTCAGATGGAAGCTCCTTTCTTGTAGTTTGAAGCCATTGTTCCACGTCCTAGTCTCCAAGGAAGCAGAAAACAAGCTTGCTCCCTCCTCCCTGTGACTTCCTCTCACATATTTATACATGGCTATCATATCTCCAGGAGCCCCCAGTGGCGCAGTGGGTTAAAGCGCTGAGCTGCTGAGCTTGTTGACCGAAAGGTCACAGGTTCAATTCCGGGGAGCGGTGTTAGCTTCCGCTGTCAGCCCTAGCTTCTGCCAACCTAGCAGTTCGAAAACATGCAAATGTGACTAGATCAATAGGTACTGCTCTGGCGGGAAAGTTAACGGCATTCCATACTGTCATGACGGCCACATGACCTTGGAGGTGTCTATGGACAACACCAGCTTTTCGGCTTAGAAATGGAGATGAGCACCAGAGTACCAGAGTCAGACACGAGTGGACTTAATGTCAGGGGACAACCTTTACCTATCATATCTCCTCTCAGCCCTCTCTTCTTCAGGCTAAACATGCCCAGCTCCTTAAGCCGCTCCTCATAGGGCTTGTTCTCCAGACCCGTGATCATTTAGTCACCCTCCTCTGGACATTTTCCAGCTTGTCAATATTGCTCTTCAATTGTGGTGCCCAGAATTGGACACAATATTCCAGGTGTGGTCTAAACAAGGCGGAATAGAGGGGTAGCATGACTTCCCTAGATCTAGACACTATGTTCCTATTGATGCAGGCCAAAATGCCATTGGCTTTTTTTGCCGCCGCATCACATTGTTGGCTCATGTTTAACAATGTTTAAAAATACTGTGGATTTTTAATACTGTTTTCAAGCCTAAAATGTTGGAAAAATTGAAGAGGTGTGTGTGTGTGGGGGGGGGGGGGGGCGGGAAATACAGTAAGGCTCCAATATCCACTGGATGGCAACTATCCAAAAGCATTCATACAGCCAAATGGTATTAAATTCCTTGACGCCTGGTCTTATCATGGCATGATCGTGTCAGGAGCAAACCAAAACAGTTGTATTGCATTAGAAAACAGACAAACAAACAAACAGAACACAAAATTTGCAGACTTGGTATTCTATTAAATGTCCTTTGACCAGTAGCTGGTCACTTGGAGTGCCTCTGGTGTTGCCGCAAGAAGGTCCTCCATTGTGCATGTGGCAGGGCTCAGGTTGCACTGCAGTAGGTGGTCAGTGGTTTGCTCTTCTCCACACTCGCATGTCGTGGATTCCTCTTTGTAGCCCTATTTCTTAAGGTTGGCTCTGCATCTCGTGGTGCCAGAGTGCAGCCTGTTCAGTGCCTTCCAAGTCGCCCAGTTTTCTGTGTGCCCAGGAGGGAGTCTCTCATTTTGTATCAGCCATTGATTGAGGGTCTGGGTTTGAGCCTGCCACTTTTGGACTCTCGCTTTCTGGGGTGTTCCAGCGAGTGTCTCTGTAGATTTTAGAAAACTATTTCTTGATTTAAGTCATTGGCGTGCTGGCTGATACAAACAGAGGATGGGCCAGAGATGTCACTGCCTTGGTCCTTTCACTATTGGCTGCTACTTCCCGGCAGATGTCAGTTGGTGCAATATCGGCTAAACAGTGTAATTTCTCCAGAGGTGTAGGGCGCAGACGCCCCGTGATAATGCTGCATGTCTCATTAAGAGCCACATCTACTATTTTAGCGTGGTGATATGTGTTCCACACTGAGCATGCATTCTCAGCAGCAGAGTAGCATAGCTCAAGGGCAAATGTCTTCACTGTATCTGGTTGTGATCCCCAGGTTGTTCCAGTCAGCTTTCATATGATATTATTTCTAGCGCCCACTTTTTGATTGATAGTCAAGCAGTGCTTCTTGTAGATTAGAGCACGGTCCAGGGTAACTTCCAGGTATTTGGGTGCGTTGCAATGCTCCAGTGGGATTCCTTCCCAGGTCATCCTCAGAGCTCGGGATGTTTGTGTGTTCTTAAGTATAATTCTAAACAATTGAAAAAAGATGAGAAAGATGCAACATCCAACCTATTAACAGTAGGAAGATTATTTATAGCAAGAAATTGGAAAAGGCAAATAAATATACACATTGAAGAGTGGTATAAGGAATTAAGGAAATTGGCAATAAATTGTAAGTTGAAGGATGGAGAATGACCTCCAGAAGAGGAAATGAAATATTTGGTCACCAACCTTCCTCTTCTCTCTCGTTCTGTTTCCAGGCACCGGTTCCAATGCTTGCTACATGGAGGAGATGAAGAACGTGGCGCTGGTGGAGGGTGACGAGGGGCGCATGTGCATCAACATGGAGTGGGGTGCCTTCGGGGACAGCGGCTGCCTGGACGACATCCGGACAGAGTTCGACGTGGCTGTCGACGACAACTCCTTGAACCCAGGGAAGCAGAGGTGAGCCAAGGGGCTCCGTCTTGCTTCCGCTTCCTCTTCCTTCTCCCCTTTCATCAGAAGGGCTGCAAAACCAGCCATTCCCAAATTGCAAAGCAGTCAACAAAGACCGAGAGAGATCTGAAGCACAGAGACCTGGTTGGAAGTCCAGCCGTTGCAATATTTATTAGGCTGGATTAAAAAATGTTTCATTACAAAATTAGGGGATGCCAGCGTTTTGTTTCCAAAATGTTTGGTTCGTGAAAATTTTGTTACGATAACGAGAGAAGCGAAATTTTGTTCCTTTTTCGTTCTCGTAATTGCGCAAGTGGGGAAACTTCAGGGGATCTTTCTCCTTTTTTTTTGCAGCAATTGGGGTGAAACTTGCTACGATTATAGAACACGTTCACCACTGTGAGCCCATCAAGGCTCAGAATGTTTCACTCACCCACAGAATTGTGGGGGATTTCCAAAGTTTTTATAAACAACTTAAAAAAAAAACACTACAAGAGCTATTTTTGTGGGTTTTCTATACAATTTATTTATTGTGTCAGAAGCGAATTGAGAATACAGTTATAATGTATACAGAAACCACAAAGTAAAAAAAATGGCATTATACTAAATGTCCTTTGACTAGTAGCTGGCTACTTGGAGTATCTCTGGTGTCACTGTGAGAATGTCCTCCATTGTGCATGTGGCAGGGCTCAGACCACATCATAGTAGCTGGTCTGTGGTTTGCTCTTTTCCTCACTCGCATGCCATGGATTCCACTTTGTAGCCCCATTTGTTAAGGTTGGCTCTGCATCTCGTGGTGCCAGAGCGCAGCCTATTCAGCGCCTTCTAAGTCACCCAGTTTTCTGTGTGTCCAAGAAGGAGTTTCTGATTCAGTATCAGCCATGGCTTGAGGTTCTGGGTTTGAGCCTGCCACTTTTGGATTCTCACTTGCTGAGGTGTTCCTGTGATTATCTCTGTCGATGTTAGGAAGCTGTTTCTTGATTTAAGGCATTGGCATGCTGGCTGATATCTGAACAGGGGATGGGCCAGAGATGTCATTGCCTTGGTCCTTTCATTGCTGGCTGCTACTTCCCAGCCAGGAATGCCTAAACAGTGTAATTTCTCCAGTGGTGTAGGGCACAGACACCCCATGATAATGCACCATGTCTCATTGAGAGCCACATCTACTTTTTTATTCCATAGTGGGCATGCATATTCAACAGCAGGGTAGCAAAACGCAAGGGCAGATGTCTTCGTTGTGTCTGGTTGTGATCCCCAGGTTGTGCCAGTCAGCTTTCGCATGATATCAAGGCTCTCCTGATTGGGGTTCCTGATACTGAGCAGAATTCCTGAAAGTGTAGTTCAGGGCGGGGTCTTTTGAATTCTCTGCCATGGGGCACCTTGCCTTCTCATTTCCCAGCCTTTTTTGGCTCTGCTTCCTTGCACTGAAAATCAAACAAACTTTGGGAGGTTTCCCAGGTTTACAAAATACAAACTAAAAAGTATTGGGTGAGTTTCGATGCTTAAGTTTTTGTCACGGGCCAACGTGTCAGGTCTTGCCTCATAAGTACGAATTTAACAAATTTGATACGACTTATGAAAAAACTGTTCACCCTTAATATTCATTAAGGAGAGATCGCTTAACTAACTTTAAGAAAGACTGGCACCCATTCATTGTGTTCCTCCAGCAAAGATGGGACCAGGCCTCTCTCACTGGTGGCTTTGGACTAAAAGAGTGTGATTATTCTGTGAGAAAAGGATGTGTCAATGGTTCTTTTTCATTGAATGGGTGTTGCAGGGTTTCTCATGCTTTTTCAGCTGCTGAGCCCTTTTTGCAGCAAAAGTTTCTTTATATATAGATAATATACAGTATATTCTGGCGTATAAGACTACTTTTTAACCCAAGAAAATCTTCTCAAAAGTTAGGGGTCGTCTTATATGCGGGTGTAGTCTTATGCATGGGAGTCGTCTTAACTCTATATTTTAACTGGAAAAGTTGGGGGTCGTCTTATACGCCCAGTCATCTTATATGCCGGAATATACGGTATATATATAGTGTGTGTGTGTGTGTGTGTCAGGCATGGGCAAAAAAGGGAAAGAAGAACAGTTTTAACCAACATAAACTTAACCGTATTTCAGTGGAAGAGCCCGAGGGGCATCCAGGCCAACTACCCTTGATTCTGCCTGGCAGGAATAGTACAATCAAGGCACCCCCACCAAATGGTCACCAAGCCTTTGTAGTAGTAGTAGAAATAATAATAATAATAATAGAAGCAACCCTGGTGCCATCCAGTTCAATTCGCCTTCTGCCTTCATGCAGGAAAGGCACAGCCAAAGCACACTCAACAGATGGCCACCCAGCCTTTGTAATAATAATAATAATAAGAGCAACCCCAAAGGCCATCTAGTCCAACCCCCTTTATTCTTCCATGCTGGAAAGGCACAATCAAAGCACCTCCACCAGATGGCCATTCAGCCATAATAATAATAATAATAATGGTGATGATGATGCATCTACAAGAGCTCCATGGTGCACACTTTGAGAACCACTGCCCTCGATTGTATGTAGTTAGTGTTTTCTGACATATAAAATGTAGTAATACGTTTTCTTTTATTCTAGAAAAAATATTTTTGAACCTTTTTTTGTTAATTTGTTTATTTGTACACTAGATATAGACTTTGTATTAATTTGTCTAAATAAAAACTAATTTTTTAACAAAAAGGAAGTCTAGCAATTTCCAAGATGGTATCTGGTTGCCAAATCATCCTGTTCTTTCTCCTTTCCTCCCTCCCTCCCTCCCTCCCTCCCTCCCTCCCTCCCTCCCTCCCTCCCTCCCTTCCTTCTTTCCTTGTCCCAGGTATGAGAAAATGATCAGTGGCATGTACTTGGGTGAGATTGTCCGCAACATCCTGATCAATTTCACCAAGCGTGGGCTGCTCTTCCGTGGGCGGATCTCCGAGCGCCTGAAGACCCGGGGCATCTTCGAGACCAAATTCCTATCTCAGATTGAGAGGTGAGGAAGGGAAGGGGTAGAAAGTGGAGATCAAAGGACATTCCGGGTCACCATTGTTGTGTCAGGAAATTTACCCAAAGCTTCTGCATTTCCCACCCTCGGCTGGTCCTTCCCAGAGCACATAGAGTTGGGGGAAACTCCCAAAAGTACAGCAGAGCATCCAAAATACAAACAGGATACTTATAGTTGAGCATTCAGCTCACAACAAGGAGAACATGAAGTGATGTGGCTGGGAAAGAATTTAGAGCTTAGGAAGCAAAGATGCAGAGTTCAAGTTTTAAAATTACAAAAGGTTTATTTACAAAAATAATTAATAAAAATAAATTAATGTGACTCAGCACCCACAGCAAGAGTTTTTAAAGATTTCCAAATGGAATACTGCAACCCAGGCATGGGCAAACTTCGGCCCTAATTGGGCTTGTTTTCCCTTTCAGGGTTAAAGATCAGTCCTACCGAAATTAAATGGATTGGCACCAAACCTTAAAAATGGGTGCCAATGACACAAAAGTGGAAAGGGAAGAGAGGCAAACTGGTGGACTTTGGGTTGTAAATGCTCCAAATAGACACATTAAGTCTTACAAAAAACAAATATTATCTTCAGACACAATAACCATTTCATCTCTTCTTTCTTTCTTTCTTTCTTTCTTTCTTTCTTTCTTTCTTTCTTTCTTTCTTTCTTTCTTTCTTTCTTTCTTTCTTTCCTGCCTGCCTGCCTGCCTGCCTCCCTCCCTCCCTCTCTCCCTCCCTCCCTCCCTCCCTCCCTCCTTCCTCCCTCCCTCCCTCCCTCCCTCCCTCTATCTATTCATCCTTCCATCCTCCCTCCTTTCCCTCCATCTGTCCTTTTTATTAACCTCCTTCCTCCCTTTCCTCCTTTCTTCCCTCCCTCCATCCTTCATTTTTCCTCCTTCCCTCCATCCATCTTTCCTTCCTTAAACCCTCGATTCCTTCTCTCCTTTCTTCCGTCCATCCTTCCTCTCTCTCCTGCAGTGACCGACTGGCCTTGCTTCAGGTGCGCGCCATTCTGCAGCACCTGGGCCTAGAGAGCACCTGTGACGACAGCATCATTGTGAAGGAAGTCTGTGCCGTTGTGGCCCGGAGGGCAGCCCAGCTCTGTGGAGCGGGGATGGCGGCCGTGGTAGACAAGATCCGGGAGAACCGCGGCCTGGACTTCTTCAGGGTCACCGTTGGGGTGGACGGCACCCTCTACAAGCTCCACCCGCAGTAAGTCAGTCATCCCTCTAATTACCGCGCGGTTTCGAATCTTCCATTTTTGGGAAAAGTGATTGAGAGGGTGGTAGCAGAACAACTGCAGCAGTTCCTACATGACACAGCTGGATTAGATCCCTTCCAGTCAGGCTTCCGTAAGGGGCATGAGACGGAGACGGTATTGGTCTCCATTACAGATCAGCTTCGCTGCCAGATGGACCAAGGAGGATCAGCACTGCTCGTGTTATTGGACCTCACAGCAGCATTTGATACGGTCGATCACAGCCTTCTGATTCACTTCCTAGCTGCGGCTGGAATTAGGGGGATGGCCCTTAAATGGCTCTCCTCTTTCCTTCAAAAACGGGGTCAACGTATGGAGAGGGAAGGGTCGGTCTCTAAGAGGGCCCCTCAGGAGGCTATCCTCTCCCCCTTGTTGTTTAACATCTCTATGCGACCACTTGCCCAGCTGGTGCAAGACTTTGGGGTTGAGTGCTATCAGTATGCTGATGACACTCAACTCATTCTGAGGATGGAAGGCTGACCAGCCTTCATACCTGATAATTTCCATCAGCCGAATGGGGTTGGGCTAGATGCCCCATGCAATCTCTTCCGACCCCAATGATATTCCAACTTGATTGAACTCGTCTCCTTCCTTCCCCTTCTTCTCTTCTGCAGCTTCTCGGCTGTCATGCATGAAACGGTGCGCAAGCTGGCTCCGAAGTGCGAGGTGAGCTTCCTTCAGTCCGAAGATGGCAGCGGCAAAGGGGCGGCGCTCATCACGGCCGTGGCTTGCCGCATCCGCGAGGCCGGCCAGCACTAGCCCCTCCTCCCTCCCTCCTTCCCTCGGGGTCGCCTTTCCCCCGCTTTGCAGGGACCCCCTCCCCCACCCCTTAAGCTCCTCTGCATGCCCCGCAAAGGGCACATCCCTTGCTGTAGGATGTCCCCACGCGATGTCTCCCACTGATGTGGCGCCAGAAGAAGAAAATGCAAAACTCTTTGGAGAATGGAGTTGGGAAGATCAGGGTGGCGTTTCCATGACATCTCTTTCGCAAAGGCATGCATCCACATGGCATGGTTAGACCATTTTGATACTCCATCCTCTGTTTGCAATTTGGGGAGGAGCTTTCATCCCAGAAGCCAAAGGGCTCTTCTGAAATGGCAAATTCCAGGCTCCTTGGTCGCCCAGTGCTGTGAATGTGTAGCATAGATATAGCCAGGAAAACACAAAGGAAGAAGAGCAAGCCTCTTTGGAGAATGGGCTTGCAAGATCAAAGTGGGGCTTCAATGCAAAGCCATGCCCTCTCTTACATTAAAAGGGTGGGCAAATGCTCATTTCAGGGATGGAAATGCATAGAGGGGCACTTGGGAGGGATTGCACCCGTATTAGACAGTTACGCCGCTTTGGTACTGCCTTCATTGGGCTTGGAAGGCCAAGGACAAACAGTCATAGCCTCTCATTATTCAAGACAAGGTGCATATACACTGCACACTGCAGCCAATTCGATACTGTGGTCATCAATTCAATTCTAGCGTTTAGGACTTAGAATCCCATCCCAGTCATCCACCCTATTGAATCAGTGCAGCTTTTCGCCCCTTGAAAAGCCGCAGCTCAGTGCTATGGGGTCCATCCATGGGAGCTCCAGTTTGGCAGAGAAGGCGACAGGCCCAGGCCTGTTGCCCAGGGGTCCTCAAACTACAACTCCCATGATTCCATGGCAGTTCAAATGCGACAGAGTGGATGTTGTTGCCTTGGAGAATGCCCAAGCCCCTCTTCTCAAACTGCAAATCCCCAAACTCTGCAAAATGGCAGTCGAAGCAGCATCAAAGTGCTATAGATGTCTAGTACAGACTAGATTAGGATATTTGCACAGAGTGCTCTCTGTACTTCCTACAAGGGAGGATGGGACGCATTGCTTTCCAATGGGGAGTCAAGCCAGGACTTTGAAAATTGGAATTCCCATCTCTTGGGGTTCTAGAGACCGAAGTCCAAGGTTCTAGAGACTGCATTCCAAGTATCCCTGACACCATCCACTTTGCAGAATTGTACCCGTTTGAGACCCCTTGAACTGGAATCCTGGGGTTTGTAGTTTGTTGTGGCAACAAGGTCTCAGGGAGGGAATGCTGAACATTCCAACAAACTACAAACCCCGTAGCAGTTAAAGTGGTGCCAAATGTGACATCAATTCTGAGGTGCGGATGCAGCCATTGTGGAATGGATTGAATGACAGTTGGATGAATGGACATGTGCCTGGAAAGGGAGTGGGGGAATTGGACCATTTCCCACCTCCTCCTCCTTCCCTTGTAAGTGCAAATATATCTTGCATTTGTGTGGATTGTGTGTAGAAGCCTGTCTTTTAGCAGCCGGCATGCTATTGATGGCCCCTTCTTTCTGCTGCTACTGTAAATAGACCCGAACGTCACCCCAAAGATGCCATTCCCACCATATGATTTCCCATTAAAACAGTCCTGCAGAAGCATCCTCTTGAGGGCGGGTCCTTCTGCTGCTGCACCGGCACGTGTCTCTTAGAACACCTCCGTTGCAAAATATTTAGGAAAAATATGTCTCTGTTTCTGTGTATAGTTCCAGAAAGACCAACAAACAAACAAAAGGATTCCTTTTTGCATCATGTTGTTCATATTTGTTTGGGTGTGAACGGATACTTCTTTGAGAAATGAAAGGAAGGATGGAAGGAAGGCAAACAAACAAAATATGTGGGAAAGAAAGGGCACAAGGAGCTCCAAAGAGAAATCGAGTTGGCCGTTTTGGGATCCGTCGGAGGATTGGGAAATCCAAATTGAAGAGAGGCTCCTATCGGCTGTCAATGCCACCGCTGGTGTGTGTGTGTGTGTATATATATATATATCTGGGCAGAATGTGTCATCCTTTTTATGGGCAGTATGGAAGTGGAAAGCAACCGCAGCCTTGGTTGCTAAGCTTCCAAAAGTTGATGCGTGGCTGTTAAAACCATTTCAGTTATAGCATTCCTTCAATTGGAAATATTCCAAAATTTAATTCTGCAATTAAATTTAATTCACCAGTTTCTTCTCTTCTACTCCCCCTTTTCCTTCCTTTCTTTCCCTTCTATCCTTGTCCTTCCTTCTCTTTTACCCCTTCCTTCCCTTAACTTTTTTCTATTCCTTCCTTCCTTCCTCTTCTATCCACTTCCATCTTTTCTGTCCCCTTCCATCCATCCATCAATCCTTTTTTCCTTCTTTCCTTCTCTTTTATCCCTTCCTTCCTTTTACTTCTTTCTCCTTCCTTCCTTCCTTCCTTCCTTCCTTCCTTCCTTCCTTCCTTCCTTCCTTCCTCTTCTTTCTCCTTCCTTCCTTCTTTCCTTCCTTCCTTCCTTCCTTCCTTCCTTCCTTCCTTCCTTCCTTCCTTCCTTCCTTCCTTCCTCTTCTATCCACTTCCATCTCTTCTGTCCCCTTCCTTCCATCCATCCATTGTTTCTTCCTTCTTTCCTTCTCTTTTACCCCTTCCTTCCTTTTACTTCTTCCTTCCTTTTCTGCTTCCATCTCTTCTGTCCCCTCATCAATCCATCCATCCCTTCTTCTGTCCTCTCCTCCTCCTCCCTTCCTTCATCCTTTCTTATTTCCTTCTTTTTTACCCCTTCCTTTTGCTTCTTTCTTTCTCTTTTACGCCTTCTTTCGTTTTCTGTGCCCTTCCTTCCTTTTCTGTCTCTTCTATCCTTTCTTTCTCTTCTATTCCTTTCCTCCCTACCTTCTTCCTTCCTTCCTCTTCTATCTACTTCCATCTCTTCTGCCCCCTTCCTTCCTTCCATCCATTCTGTCTTCCTTCTTTCATTCTCTTTTACCCCTTCCTTCCTTTTCCTTCTTTCTTTTTCCTTCCTTCCTTTTCTGTCCCTTTTATCCTTTCTGTCTCTTCTACTCCTTCCTCCCTTCCTCCCCCCTCCCTCCCTCCCTCCCTCCCTTCCAAGCAATAACAGCCATTATGATTTACTGCAAAAGGAAACACTGAAAAGGGTATTGTTTGTTGCTTCAATCATTAAAATCACAAATTCTACATTGGTTCCTCCCAAAAAGAGCAAATCGGAGCAATAAATTCTTTTAATATGTGATTCCAAAACTTTGGGCGGGCCTCATATTCAACCATGGCAGTCCCATTTATTCATCTGGATGAATGGATTTGCCCCAGGGCTGCCCCGCTCCAGATCATTCCCATTCCTCTGCCGGCTCCAAACCCTTTCTGCCCTTGGCTTCCCATTGCAGGCAATTGGACTTGGTGGGTCCAATGCTTCAAAAATACATATGCTGTCTTCCAAAAAGAAATATTATCTTCAAGCACAACGGCCAACTCACCTCTTTGGTTTCCTATTCCTGTTTTATTTGGTCTTCCATATGAAGGGATTTTTTTTCCCAAAGGGAAATGAATAGGTAAAAGTGAGGAATGGTTTATGTTTCCTAAACTGCCAAGCCAATAGTTTGTATTAAAAAGAAAGAAGCAATAATATTTTTGGTATCTATTCAGTGCAAAAGGCATTGACTGCCGGCGATGTACAAAATAGCTTTTTGATTCGGGGATGTGTTTGGAGAGAGATATTTTTGTTCTCTATTTTTTTAATCTCTAGTTCTATATTTATAATAGCTTGGAACGACCGAAGAACCAAAAAATGTTGTCTTTTGCAGCGAGATTTAAATGAAAAAATTATATATATCTATTTACCTCCTTTTCTCCTTTTATTTACTGCATAAAAAGCTTGCGATGAAGGTGAAAATACTTTAAAAAATTGCACATTGCAATGGGAATCTGAGCAAACCATCCGCAGAAATAGATAGATTGTTAGGCAGGTAGATAGATGGATGGATCATGTTTTTGGTAAATGGGTAAAAGAAGCTATTTGCACCTAACCATTTCCTGTACTGGTTTTTTACTGGGGGTGATGGTTCCTTACCTGCTGGAAATGCCTTTTGATTTACTGCATGTTCGGAAGAGTGAGGAAATGTATTTACAAAACTTGAATCTGATCAGTTGCCAGGATTGTACCTCATTTGAAAACGCATTTGTAATTTTGCTCATTGTGAACTTTATTTAGTGAATCTTCAGATCTTTTATTTTTGTCATGAGGGTTTATTCCAAAAAAGGAGAAGCAAAGAGTAGTAATAAAATAAATATATTTTTGGTGTGACGGTTTTGCAGAGTGTTGTTTATTGCAAGAATTCCTGAAGGCGAACCATTCCAATTCATGGGAAAAGTCCACTTACCTTGCTTGGTCAATGGAGAGCCAAGAATGAGGCCTCAATTGGGGGAGAGAACATGACATTCCTCCAAATATGGGGAGATTTCAAATCCCAGCAGCCTTCACTATTATTATTATTATTTATTATTTATTTTGTGTACTTCTACCCTGCCCTTCTCAAGCCCCGAGGGGGACTCAGGGCGGCTTACAAAAAGGCACAATTCAATGCCGGCACAACAACAAGGTAAAAAATAAAACATCTAAACAGTAATTAAAACAATCCATTATACATCACAATCCCTAAAAACAATCTAGTGCTCAACGTTTACCAGCTCAGAGTCCGTAAATTCAAATTCTACATTGTCCAATCCATTAATTCTAGTCACTGCTTGTCCCTTATCTATCTGCCAGATTACCCGAAGGCCTGGTCCCAAATCCATGTTTTTAATTTCCTTCTAAAGGAGAGGAGGGATGTCGATGACCTAATTTCCCCGGGGATTGAGTTCCACAGGTGAGGGGCCACCACCGAGAAGGCCCTGCTCCTCGTCCCCACCAATCTCACTTGTGATAGAGGTGGGGCCAAGAGCAGGGCCTCCCCAGAAGATCTTAAACTCTGAGATGGGACGTAGAAGGAGATGCATACGGACAGGTACGCTGGGCCGGAACCGTATAGGGTTTTGTAGGTCAAAACCAGCACTTTGAATTGTGCTCGGAATTTTATCGGCAGCCAGTGAAGCTGACATAACAGATGTGTGGTATGCTCTCTGTATGATGCTCCGGTGAGTAATCTAGCTGCTGCCCGCTGGACTAATTGAAGTTTCCGAACAGTCTTCAAAGGCAACCCCACATAGAGTGCGTTGCAGTAATCTATTCGGGATGTTACTCCCTGTACATCCCGATATTACTCATGGGCAAATCTGGCCAAGAAAACCCTCGATGTGGTTTGAGCATTAGGTTTGAATGAGTCCAGAGATCTGGGTTCAAATCCTTATTTGGCCATAGAAACCCATTGAGTGGCTGCACTCTCGGCCTCAATATGTGGTTGAATTTCGACTAGGACCACAGATGTGGAGGGTCCGTGCCCAGTGAGTGTTTACTCTAACGCCTGAAGTTCAGATTGTAGAACACACTCGCCAGATGAAGACAAGCCACAGAGTTTTATTAATCCACCCAGAAAGGATGTAAGTTTGCCTGATGTCAAAAATGTACAAGTATAACATGCAATTCAGAGAAATGAGGTTTCATACCCATAACAGCAATTCAAGCCTTCCTGCTCCATCTGCTTCCCTCTACGATTGGCCAAGAGGGAACCCAGCTTGGATCCGCACTCCAACTGGCTGGTGCTTTGATGAAGTTGCTTCCCCTAGATGGGGATTCCTTGGCGGAGGGGAGGACACGGCGGGGACTGGCCCCAGAAAGGCCATGCTCATATTGGGAAATCTAAATTAGTCTTTGATTGGCTGAATTCTGAGCTGCTCTGAGTCCCCTTCGGGGTGAAGGTAGAGTAGGGTAAAAAAGCAGTGAATAAATACATTTATTTATTTATTTATTATTTAAACTTATATGCCGCCACTCCCCTGGGGCTCGGAGCGGCTTACCAGAACAGGCTAAAATCTAACACAATTTAAAAACAATTTAAAAACAGCGATATCAAAGATCAAAGGCCTGTTGAAACAGATATGTCTTACATGCCCTGCGGAAAGCTGATAAGTCCCGCAAGGCACGGACTTCAGGTGGCAGAATATTCCAGAGTGATGGTGCCACTGCTGTAAAGGCTCTGCGTCTGGTTGCTGTTAGACACATGGTCTTCACATTGGGAATTTCCAAAAAATCTTGGTCCTCAGAACAGAGGGATCTTGGGTTGGTAGGGGGTGAGGCGGTCCCTGGGGAGTCTCTGAGGAGGACATTCCTTGGAAAAAACAAGGGTGGGGGCTCTCTTTCTATCATCAAGCCTTGACTGCCAAATAAAGGAATTCAAATTAGTGTGCATGTGTTGAGTTGATTTCTGCGGTCAGCCATCTCTCAGCTTGATGGAAACAATCCACTGGGCAAGTATCGGCCAGCAATATCAGATCTAGAGCAGAAACCACCTGCTGATCCATCCATCACAATGGACCTTGATTGTCAACTTTG